CATAAAATTACTTTTGTTTCGGATTGGAATAGTTCAGACAAATAGCAGGTACATCCATGGGAGCATCTATAGCTCCAATGTACGTCAATGGTTACATGTTTGTTTTTGAATCTCAACATATGCTGGAGCCATTTAAACATCAATGATATTTTCATGATCTTTAAAGGCAACATTAGTGTTGCAGAGGTTATTTTACAGAGCATCAATATATGCACTGCAAACGTCGAATTAACGATGACTGCAGATCTATTGTCAGTGGAATTTTTGGATGTACGAATATACAGAGAGGGGAGAAAGCTTACAAACACGTTGTATTCGAAACCCACAGACAGAAATACTTTATTACAGGTGAACAGTTTTCACCCTAATGCCTTGAAGTGCTCATTACTATACTCACAATTTCTCAGGGTTCTGAGGAATAACTCTGATAAGAAGAATGCAGAGGAACAACTACAGAATATGTTGGGAATATTTCAACAACGAGGCTGTAGTGTTTTTACATTACAGAAGGCATTGAATAAATGCTACCAAGTACAGAGTGCACCAAATGAAGCATCTATAGAGAGAACAGTCTTCCCTACAACATATACAACAGCTTCTTTACAGTTTAACCCCTTAAGGACACATGACGTGTGACATGTCATGATTCCCTTTTAATCCAGAAGTTTGGTCCTTAAGGGGTTAAACAAATCATTGACAACAATTGGAGGATCCTGACAAATGACATCACATTGCCAGAATAATTCCATAAACCACCCATGATGTGTTTCAAGAGGAATAAGAGCCTCAAGGACTTATTGGTTAATACTGATCCTACACATTGTTATTTGAAAGATCTAGCCCAATAAATCCAGGCTGTTATTGGTGTTTGGGATGTTTGACTTGCAGACATATGCTTCCTGGCAAATGGTTCACACACCCTCACACTGGGAAGAGATATACCATCAAGCATCGTCTGACATGCGCCACAGATTATGTGGTGTACAAACTGACTTGTCCTTGTGGTCTGACTTACATCATCAAGACTGATCTACTTCTAAGTGAACATATCAGAAACCACAGGTCTAGCATACGAGTAGCGTATAGAGACCAAAAATCAGATCTTCCAGTTGCTAAACATTTTTTTTTAAACTGGGCAATATGTTACCAACTTTGAAATTAATGGCCGTTGATCATGTACCTCTACCATGGAGGAAGAAAATGCTATTGCAACGAGCATTGTACTGGATTAGAACTCTCAGGACAGTGCACATAGATGGCCTTAATGAGAAATATACTCTTTCAGCGTTTTTATAACGCTATAGTCAATCAGTGTATGTAGGAGTTGGGACTATGATGCCCACCCTGGGGGATAGGCATGTATCCATTTAACTCACAGACACTGTATAATTGTATGAGTTATGCTTATTTCATTTTTTGATGGTCACTGATGTGGTGCTCTGGCCTGGTGCCTACCCTGGGGGGGTTAGGTTACCAGACCATTTGCTTAAGTGACACATTTTATGTTATTCCTTTATTATATGTACTATCCAGGCCTTTTTTGCTTTGATAATTGCATGACCAGACTTAAATGTTGCGCTTATTGTGTGAAATGTGGTTGAGACTTAAATGTTGTGACAAAATAGATGGTTTGAGTAGGGTGATTTAAGTGCAGGAACATGCCCTCTAGAGGACCAAAGGTGATTTTAAGGTATTTTAACCCTTTTCTCTTTTTGTAAGCATAACAATAATTTTATTCATTAGAAATGATGGTGTATAATTTTTTCGAATAGAAGTCTATAGTTAGTATAGACACTGATGTCCGATAATAATTCTATTTATTGTGTCAGTTCCATATTATTATTTTATAGTAAGACTGCCAATATGTTGATAACTTGATTTGAATTCATTAATTGGTTTATGACTGGTTGCCGTGATTTGTTTTTATTGCTGCATTCATGTTTTGGTAACTTCTGTTCATTTATATTTAGATTTTGTGGCAATTTTTATGTGTTGCTATGGCAACGACCCCAGGCCACGTCAAAAGACTCTCACCATTCACCTTGCTTCCTTGAGCTATTTTGGCTGATGTGTACTATGGTCGTTGTTGCCGCCCAGGAGTAATGGGACTTTGAGCGCAGGACTTGTTTCTTTGTATTTGTGTTCACTTTTGTATCACACGGCTAGGTTACAATGCTGCTGCCCATCTCACGTGTTCCCCATTAAGGGTTAATAAGCATGTTGGGATGTATATAAGAAAATACCCTTTTCTGTCTCATTAGAGATATCTTTGCCAGAAGCTCAAGGAAGCAAGGTAAATGGTTAGAGTTAGGACCCATCTAAGAGGTTTGCCTTGACGTGGCAAACCTCTCATGGCCATTGGAGGTAATTAAAAACCTCCATTTGTTTAAAAATACATATGGATGTGGAAAGAGCGCAGGTAACTTTTTTCTTTGGTTTTTACTACATGTGGAGGGAGGGAGAGGGAGGGAAGGGTACATTTTTTTTCTCATTATTTATTTATTTATTAAATTAAATTTTTTTTCTTCACTGAGTGCCTCGACCCCTCAAGGTACTCAGCACAGGCAGATCATCAGAAGCCTGCCTGACAGCTTCCAATGCTCTGATTCACTGCCGGTTGCCATGTGGGACAGCTCAGAAGTAATCGGGAGGTTGGAAAGGGGTTAAATGATATCTTACCGGCATTCAACATCATATCCTCACCACATTGCCTAATAAACAACAGTTCCTTTCATCCTACCAGGTTAAAGCCATATTAAAAGGTATCATCCTCACCATCCGAAACCCAGACAAATCACATCATTAAAACTGCTATTTATTTGGCATTCTACGTTTTTTTCCGACCGTCAGAATTCACTACCACTAACTCCAACTCCCCTGACTTCATTGCAAGAACACATCTGGTGAAATCAGATGACCACTACGTACTTTCACTACGCCACACAAAAACTAGCGGAAGGGGGCAGACCGTAAAAATTAAGTATTTTCCCACAAGCAATCAATGTTAAAGTTAAAGTTTTTGATCACTACCTTTCCTCCAGTCAAAGTTCACCAAACCAAACACTGCTTGCTTTACACGGAAATGCACTCAATACTAGTAGATTCATGCTTTATGTTAGAATGTTATTGGTATGGTTAGGGGTTAACCCAACAAATTACTCAGGTCATTCATTTTGAATAGGTTCCACTACCACGGCTTCCTAGTGGAATATTCTGGTACATTCTATTAAGATGTTAGGTTGGTGGAAGTCTACTGGCAACACTAGATGCATACCTTAACCTGTACAAGAAGTAAGGATAGATTTCTAGAACAAGATTATGTGATGTGGCTGTGTTGTATTTGTCAGCTATTAATAGCTCCCCACTCATTCCCCATTTGCAACTGTCATTAGTCTAAATCCATCCTTACCTTTTGTATCACTTTACCTCACTCCCTCTAGCATATAAGCTCATTAAGCAGGGCCCTTAACCTCTCTGCTCCTGTGTGTCCAACTTGTCTGGTTACAACTACATGTTTGTACGTCCACCCACTGTAAAGCGCTGCGGAATTTGGTTGAGGGGTTGAGGGCACTGCTCAATGATCTTACATGCTAGAGGGAGTGGGGTAAAGTGACACAAAAGGTTAGGATAGTACTAGACTAATGACAGTTGCAAGAGAGGAATCAGTC